TTTTAGAAAAAAACTGCACAAATAAATAAATGTTCACCTTTTATTTGTGTTTAGTCTTCATACAAACAAGAAATGTGAAATCACTGTCAAATAATCATCTTAGACTCACCTAATTAATATTAATATCTTTAATTTCAAACTATAGGCTAACATACACTACCAGTCAAAAGTTTTTGAAAAGTAAAATTTTTAATGCTTTTAAAGAATTCTCTTCTGCTCACCAAGCCTGCATTTATTTGATCCAAAATACAGCAAAACAGTAACATTTTGAAATATTTTTTTAGCCACACACACACACAGCTTGACATACATCTGCAGGGCAAGTTCTGCAATCCTACTGTATGTGTACAGTATGTACATTGAGCACTGCTCTTCAGTTGGCTCGTTTGGGGCCAAATTTATTTTTATTTTTGATACTTAAAAAAAAAAAATATATATAAAACAATTAATTTTATTTGTATGAATTTGTCTGTCTTTTATCAGATTTACCCATTGTTATAACATCGCTAGTACTTTCGAAATGCTAAAAAAGAAAAAAGGTTACCTACAGCATTCATCGGGTCTTGCTCTCCCAACTTATGCTCCGTGTGTGCGCGCATCCATGTTGCTTAGTAACGAACGCGCTTGCAGCGGGATCACGTAATTTACGCAGAAACAACAACATTCTAATTTCTGATTGGCTGGTTGGTGTCATTTAACTATATACAGTGGTGTGAAAAAGTGTTGGCCCCCTACCTGATTTCTTCTTTTTTTGCATGTTTGTCACACTTTAATGTTTCAGATCATCAAACAAATTTAAATATTAGTAAAAGATAACACAAGTGAACACAACATGCAGTTTTTAAATGAAGGTTTTTATTATTAAGGGAAAACAAAATCCAAAACTACATGGCCCTGTGTGAAGAAGTGTTTGCCCCCCTGTTAAAACTGTGGTTTATCACACCTGAGTTCAATTTCTCTAGCCACACCCAGGCCTGATTACTGCCACACCTGTTCGCAATCAAGAAATCTCTTAAATAGGACCTGCCTGACAAAGCGAAGTAGACCAAAAAATCCTTAAAATCTAGACATCATGCCGACTTTTTCACACCACTGTATATAACTCGAGACAGCTCTGAACTCGGCAGAGAACTTCCCTCCGTATTCGTCCATTAATTATAGCAGGACAAGTTATCCCTTATTTCTCAGCGTAAGAAATACAAGGTGTGGCATGAGAGCGTGTGAACAGGTTGAAATGCGTGTGTCTCACGGTGAATGCGTGAGACTTGAGAACCCTGCACTGGTAATGTATATCGAAATATCGGAAATGTGTTTAAAAATCATATCACCATTATTGAAAAAAATTATATCGCGATACATATTGATATTGAATTATTGTCCAGCCCTACTGTCGTGCATACTAATCTGTGTGAGAGGGCACACATGAAACCAGCATTATGAGCCAGTCTTGACTTGCTATGTTCTGACAAACATGTTTTTGTGTTTTGTTTTTGTTTTTTTGTAAATTTTAAGCAGATTATGGCTTATGTTTTTCATTTAATTTATTTTTTACATTTTTTTATTTAACATTTTTATTATCATACACTACTACCTTTCAAAGGTTTGTGTCTAAGATTTTTTAAATATATTTGAAAAAGGTCTATTATGCTTACCAAACTTGTATTTATTTGATCAAAAATACAGTAAAAAACATAATATTGTGATATATTATTATACATTTTTAAAAAATCTTTTGTTTTGTTTTGTTTCGATTGTAATACATTTTAAAATGTAATTTATTCCTGTGATGTTAAAGCTGAGTTTTCAGCAGTCATTACTCCAGTCTTCAGTGTCATATGATCATTCAGAAACTATTTTAAAACGCTGATTTTATGCTCAAGAAACAATTCTTATTATTATTTAACTTAAAAACATTTGTGTTGCTTGATTTTTTGGTGGAAAACCCTGATACATTTTTTCTGGATTCTTTGATGAATGGAAAGTTCAAAGAACAGCATTTATTTGGCATAGAAATATTTTGTAACATTATAAACATCCTGTCATTTCTGATTGTTTCAATGAGTCCTTGCTGTTTTGTTTCATTTTATTCTATTTTTTCTAAACTTACTGACCCCAGACTTTTGAACAGTAGAGTATTTTGGTAAATGTTTGTTTGAAAGTTGTGCTTTGTTTCTCTTTCTTGAAAATAAATATTGCTTGTTTTGAAATTATGTAATGTACATCATTCATCATACATTTTTAAGAAGTTGACTAAATCATCATACTCTCACAGCATTTACATATTTTTGACTTATAAGTTGCTCTATAAATTATAAATACCCTCTGCCACTGTCTAGCAATAGCAGGTAGCAAATTGTGACTTGCTGGTTGCTAACAAAGGACCCTTGAGGGGACAGCTTACTTGTTTTCCACTTCATGAAAATTATGCAGTGCTCCATTAAAAAGTTTAAAATGAGTCTGTGCTGTCAGCTCTTATATCATCAAGCTGCTTGCGTCTCTTGAGCCCTATTTTGCACTGTAGCTTTGAACAGCCTTAACGCTACACTAAAACATTATAAGACGGAGTGATGTAACAGACTGCAAAGCCAAACAGGACCCCTGCTGTTCGATCAAAATATCTCTGTTTCTGCTATGTCTTGGTTGAATCTCAACGTTCGCTCTCAGTTTTTCTTTTTATTTCTGCTTGAAGCACGGCAGACTCCTAAAAGGCAGACTGTCTGTGTTCAGTACGTCCCGACGTTTCACTCATCTCAGTTAAAGTACGTCCCCATTGTGTCAGACCAGATCAGATGAGCCCAAACTCTAAAGCTGGATATACAGCATGCAATTGTTTTGTCCTTTATTATTGTTTTTTTTTTCTTCGTCAGATTGTATGATATGATCCCAGTGAGATATTCCATTGCTTGTTTTTGACAAATAAATTGGCACTGGATCAGGCTGCAGGTGTGACCTGTTGAAATTTAGGTTTTGCTAGTTGTCACATCTTTAAGTCAGGTGTGATCACAAGTACACTATGTTCAAGAATAACAAAAATCACCTTTTCCTTGAATACAATGTTGTCATTCATTTTAGACATTCAGGGATGCACGTGCTTAACTAACATCATGTGAAGCTGTCACATGGGTAATATCAGAGACGGCACACTCAAATTCAGCACCCGATTCATTCATATCTCCAAATCGCCCTGCAGTATCTCTCACTCCGCCTCTAACTAGGATTGAAAATACTCTTGTCAGCTGGGAAGGCTCTGAGTTAACAGGCGTAACAGGAAGGACTGCGGTGTCTTTTCCACAGTACTGTACGCAATTAACCCTTCGCAAAAACCCGCCCCCTTGCTACCTCCGACAAGCCATGGTGCTGTCATGCTACACATCTCAGAGCAAAGAGAAAACTGGCAACGCACCGACAGACAAGTTTTGTGGCTCTTTAACGTGTCATGACAGATCGCTGTAGCACCTCAAGTTCAAGCGGCATGTGAACCAATCATCCTTCCTTTTTACTAGTTAGTTATAGTATGAAATAAACATGAATGAACATCAGAAGGTATCTTGTTTCAACCGCAGAAAGACGGCAATACACACCATTTTCAAGTTCAAGTCCACTGACGCTAATCTACTCTCCTGTTTGGTTTGTTTGTCAGACACAATGGCAGATTCTGCGTTGTGATTGGTCAGATCACCTGTCAATCATGACTTCCATTGAATGGACAAACAAACACTGAACCATTCTTCAAAATATGTTCTTTTTCTGTTGCACAGAAGAAAGTCAGTCATACAGGTTTGGAATGACACAAGGAAGACAGAATTTTCCTTTTTGGGTCAAATATTCCTTATATCATTCATCCTGGTTCCAGCGGGATACTGAGGACTTTATAACAGTGTTTGACTGGTTGCTGCTTAATTTGAGAGCATGATTTATTAGTTAAGAATCTATTAAAGCTGATCATATGGATTTAGCGACTGAATGCTTCTAATAAACTTTCAGCTCTTTAAGCGGCTTATACACACTGAGTTTCTTTTGTGGATTTTTTGAAGGTCGAGAGCCGCGTTCTTTACACACAGATTGCCAGCGGAAACTGACTTCTAACCGCCTTCAAGAGAGATAACAGCACTCTCTCATTACATACTCTCTAAGCCTTCAGCTTGCTTTTAGTTTATCACCAACACACAAACGTTGAGACATTGAGCATCACTAGGAGCAGAAGACAAAATGGTTTATCATTTAGTTTTATATTATTTTTCTTTGATTCATGACGCTCTTACTTTCTTTAATATCTTGGCTAAAGCTCAAGGCTAACAGGAAGAGAATCCATCTCCATTAGTCCTTTGCTGGGTACTGCAGACCTCTCTCTGTGTCATGATGGCCAACTAGTTGTCCAGCAGCTACTTCATATATTAACTTCAAGACTGTGTGCTAGAATACCACTTGAATACATCCAGTAGTTGGTTCAAACATATTAGAGTGTCTCATTTTTCAGGGCAGACAACCATAAACACATATGCATCCCATTTGAGTAATTTTCTTCTCTAAATAACATGGAGCAGCATTTTATTTGAAGGATATGGCAAATTCTACAAACATAGTTTGCGTTCATCCTGCTGAGGTTCAATTTATCTCTTAACTCTTCTGCCTGTACTGCTGATCCTTCAATTATATACAGTCTGCTGATAAATGCATTGCAGCTCTTCTGTATTCAGCTTTTTTCAGTTTTGTCTGTTCCTCACTGGGAAGATGGATGACCACTTGGGTCGTTGTCCTCTGACTAGGGATATGCCGGTATCGAATTTTCATGTTGCGATTAATTGCTAATGCTTTTATCACGGTATACGGTATTATCACGATATTGAAATTAAGTTTTAAAAAAGTGCTGACACAAAACCATGATTGTATGCTCATATTACATTGATAGACACAGGTGTGTTGTTTTGATATGTTATATGTGTTATGGTGGGATATCAGTGGTTTCTTTTATTTAAAGGTGGTTTTCATCTGTGTTTCAGTACACCCGGGTTTGGATCCCTGACCCAGAAGATGTCTGGAAGTCGGCTGAAATCATCAAGGATTATAAAGAGGGAGACCCAGTGCTTAACCTCAAATTAGAAGATGAAACGGTAAGAGTAAACCCTCCCCTTTATCTTTCACCAACATACATAGCATGAACTTTACTGACCGTTTTATTGGTAAATAAATACACTCATTTTCAGGAAAAACAAATATTAGGATCAAAATTGTGTGTCATTAAAATAGCCACAGCTGTTATTGTGTAAAAATATATAGAAATCATTTTCAAACAATAAATATTGAAATGCTGTATGCTTATCGTGGTCTTTGTTTAGATCGTCTTTTTTATTTATTTATTTTATTTTTTAAAAATATTTTTAGATTGATTTTCATAGATTAAATCGAAAGTCTGGGTGACGAGTAAAATAAAAAAAAATCTGTCAAAAAAAAAAAGCTTTTGAAAAGTAGCAAAAATAAATGAAGACATGGTAAATAGAAAAATGTACACAAAAAAAATAAATAAAATCATATTCCTTCCTGTTCAGACTACAAAATATCTACCGTACCTTTTAAGTGAATTTAAGCAGACTGAACAATAGTGGGTTTAAATTCTCAGTCAAAACACAGCAATTGTGTACTAAACCTTCCTGCATTAGTTTGGGTTTCACCGTTGGAAAGTGTCATATGAATCATTAATCATCTTTTGGTGTGTAAGAAGTACAGGCCCTGAGAGAGGAGGTTGTACGCCATGTTCTCGAGTGTACTATCAAAAAACAATGTTGGGGACACCTAGGGTTGGGTACCGAAACCCGGTGCCAATATGGCACCAGTACCTATGTAACCGGTATGTACTAGAACCGAATCAGAACGCAGATTTCTGTGCCTCATTTCGGTGCCACTTAAATGCCTGAGCAATCGATTTAAATATTTGTCCTGGTTCTCCGAAATGGACGTAAAAAGCATGGGCGTCGCTAGGCCATTTTTAGCGGGGCTTTAGCGATTAGATCCATAAACTGTACACAAATTCATGATCGCCTCAGTGTTAGTCTCCTTTAAATTTCATATGAAAACAGTGGCAGACTTCGTCTCCTCCCCGTCTTCGGCGCAGCGCGAGCGGACTCAAACAGAAAGGACACAACAGGACACAAGGTGTGTGTTTATCGATAGATTGTTATAATATCTGTATCTGTGCAGTTCTTTGTCATAAATAGTTTACAAACAGTGCATGTGGCATACCATACAGTCATTCACAGAACTGATTAAAGACAGTGACAGACAGCACTCAGTCAATTCACTCATTTTAACTAAATATCAGAGTGATTGACAGAGATACAGTAGAAACATTATATGTGGTTTTGTATTAAATATCGTTTTGTATTAAATAATGACCCAGATTGTGAAACACATTTATTAGCCTTAGAGTAAGGGAAGCACAACTCGGGAAATGAGAGCATCCGAGGAGCATGTGAATGCTATGTATATTTATTTTAAATATTTGTAATGTTCTTTAATGTTATCCATCGTTTTTTGTGGCTCTTTTTTTAAAGTATCAGTTCAGGCACCGTTTAGGCACCGGTACCATTTTAAAAGTATCGATTTGGCACCGGTATCGTAAAAAACCCAATCGATACCCAACTGAGGGACACCTGAATAAACCAGTAGATGAAATAAAGATCAGCATGACTTATTGAAGCTCTTGTGTATGCATTAACAACACTCTCAGTCTGCCAAAAGACACTTTTTGACTCTTGAACCCCATGGAGTTAATTGACATTGTAGTTTGAATCCAATCAATTTCTAATCTACTGTTTCTACTTAATTTGCATTTCTGTTGCTATTCCTAGACGTTAGAATATTCAGTTGGTCCCAAAAACAATCCACTTCCATTTCTTCGGAATCCTGATATTCTGGTAGGAGAGAATGACCTCACGGCTCTCAGCTATCTCCACGAGCCTGCTGTGCTCCACAACCTCAAGGTCCGCTTCCTCGAGTCCAATCACATTTACACTTACTGCGGTAAGTCTCTGATATGTTGGCAAATATATTGGTCATTTTATATATTATTTGTATTTATTTGTGTTTAAATGGCCTGACATTTGTCCAGTTATGATCATCACTTGATAACTCTTTTTACATGGCTGATTATTGGAAGTGTCCTTCATTTGTGGTAACTCTAAAATCCAAAAGTGAGAAACATTTTATTTTCAGGAATTGTGAGTAAATACATTTCAGGTAAATTTAATTTAAGCAATTTTTTATAGGCTCTGTCTCATTTTCTATAAAGGCTAGTTTATTTAGGATAATTTAATAAAAATTTAATTAAAATTCAATTATGTTACAATTGTAATAAAATTTAACATAAAAGTTCAATTAAATGTAATATACATTTTAATAAAATTACAAAAAAATGAGTAAGGAAAGGATAAGAAATAAACGGTTGAATTATTAAAAAGAATAAAAAGGAAAGAAAAATTATATATTTCTCTTTACAGAAGAGTATCTTGCAAATACTCCTCACCAGCAGTAAATGTTGTAATTGCGAATCCAGGGTCAACATGCTTTACCGGAGAGGAACAAAGGCAGCGTCTCTGTTTAGTCAACACTCATTACATTCAGTGTTTCTATCAGTTACTCTGTCCCTATGACAGCATGCCCTTGTTAATAGGTTGTGGCATTTTAGGATTGCGTCTTATTTGAGGGTGTGTTTGTTTCTACTGAGAAATTCTTCTGAAAAAAAGACACATATTATGTAATGTATGTTTGAATCCTAACACTGGATGACGTGACCTCTCAGGCAATCAGAAAGAGTGTATATGTTGTTTTATATACACATGGTCACACAGTCTCACAGATATTTAATGTCTAAAGACCGCCCAGCTGTTGTTTGTCTTGTTTTATTGTTGGTTCCGTCTGTTGTGCTTTGTAATGACTGAATGATTCCCATTATTGTCTCTGTCAGGTCACAACAATGCCCATTGCCTCATAATTCCTCTTTTATGTTTGTTTCTTTTTATTTTCACAGACATGTGTATGTTTTGTGTTGTCTCTTTGAGAATGAAACATCATGCGTTAACATCATTTTGCTTCCTGTGACATCATTCCATGATTAGAGTCTCCTAATATTTAATTAACTTATTTATTTTATCTGTATCATCAAGACTTTGTCTGATTTAATTTATGCAGTACAGTTGTAGGGGTAAAGCCATGTAAATCTCTCTCCTTAGGGATTGTTCTGGTGGCCATCAACCCGTATGAGCAGCTTCAGATCTATGGAGAAGAAGTCATCAATGCATACAGCGGCCAGAACATGGGGGACATGGACCCTCATATATTTGCTGTGGCAGAGGAAGCGTACAAACAGATGGCCAGGTTTGTGATCATTTTTTCATAGTCTTACAATATTAAACACACCCCCCTCTCTTCAAAACCACACCCTCAAAACACGTCAACAAAGCTAAAAATGTACAGTGCTTTTCTGAATGTTACAAAAGCTTTCAGTTTCAAATAAATGCTGCTCTTTTGATCTTAGAGAACTCTTTTTGGTAAAAGCCATTCTGGATTCTTGGAACAAGCATCTCAAGTAGAGTTTAAGAAGTTGTTAGCATCAAGTGAATGTTGAAGCTGTTTGTTAAGCTTTCCCTGATGACACACGTACATCACAGAGATGTCTAACGTCTGCATTTACATCTACAAGACGTATTTTTTAGAGTGTTTGCTCCTCTGCAATAGGTCTATAGGACGTTTCCTATTAGATGTCAAATAGACGTTTAGAAGATGTTTATGATTTCGAATGTATGTAAAACTGACATCTTAAAGACGTCTATCTGATCTTTGTACACAGCTGATGCTTTCCAGAAGAAGTGATCTTTAACAGATATCTTGCAGACGTACGTGTGTGCTATCTGGGTTGTTGTTTTGTGATAAAGAGCTCAGGCTTCAGATCAGTGATTTCCACTGGCTGTAAACAGGAAATGGCATCATGTTCTTTGAAAGCTGTGAGTAATCTGAAAGTTCAGCTTGACTCAATAATGGGTAGAGTGGGCAGATAATCACAGTGCACGCAGCATCATTCTTCGAACCTTTGTATTTACAAGTGGGGTTTTTTGTTGCTTGAATCATCAGAGCCATTTGCACATCAGGTTTAAGCTGGAGCTAAACATCCCACACTGAGACATCATGACTTACTAATGACTTGTGTAATGCTAAAGTCCTAAAATAAGCTCAGGCGAAGGAGGGAAAGACGAGGCAAGGCTTGTGGTCAGACTATGCATTTGATAGGTTTTACACATGTCAGTAACACTGAATAGACACGTCAATTATTTAAGAGTGTGTCAGAGTGGCACTCCGCTGCGTTTAGGTTTTCCTGAGGTAGCTCTCCAGGGACAAGTGTGTGTGTCTAGTGCATATAGACCAAACGGCAGCAACCGGTGTGGTTTAGAACTTTAGATTGGAAGATTTTAACTGCATTTGAAGAGTTCAGATGCAAAATCCTCCAAGTGCCATCTAAAATTTTCATCTAAAATGAACTTTTTTTTATCAGGCTCCTATTTATCTTTATTTATTTCACTTTAATGGCATAGAAAAGGACCTGTACATTGCCATTAAAGTACAATTACTGAACTTAAACATAGGAGCCTGATAAAAATGCTAATTTTAGAAGAAAATTTCAGATGGCACTTAGAGGCTTTTGTCTTCTTTCCCACACACCTGTTTTTTTGCTATGCACTGCAAAATGTTCCTGATCCATGTAATTTTATATAACATTTAATAATTTAAAATAAATATAAATGTTGTTAATGTCTAGAATGTATATTTTGATATATTTTGTTAAGTATTTGCGTGACATCTTTAGCTGCTGTTATATTCAGCTACATTATTTGAAATTTAACTTAACAATTCTATTTATTCAAATTATGTTGCTGTGTCCATTTTAATATACATTTTCTATAAATTATTCTAATTATCATTCTGAATTATTTGATTATCACATTTTCCAGGGAATTTTGGCCCTGCTTGTTGACTCTCTTTTATTAGAGGGTCAAATTATATCAGGCATCATGCAGAATACATGTAACATGAATACGTTTCATATACCTCTCAATTCTGTAAACACAGCCTTATTAGTTGAATGTGCTTTATATCGACAATGGATTTACAATGGATTTCTTTTATCATGCATATCATCTCAGATATTCATAAGGACGCTGTCTTCACACATGTAAACCTGAACTTTCATCTGCAGAGATGAAAAGAACCAGTCGATAATCGTGAGTGGCGAGTCTGGAGCCGGTAAAACGGTGTCCGCAAAGTACGCCATGCGCTTCTTCGCCACAGTGGGAGGTTCAGCGAATGACACCAGCGTCGAAGAGAAAGTACTGGCCTCCAGCCCCATCATGGAGGTATGTTATGACATAGGACACATTACCAAAATAATTTGTGTTCAATCTAATAAACGTGTGCCACCAATTACTTCCATCATGTGTGCAGCAGCTGTAAAGGTGCCCTCACTTCACTCATCACTCCATCTTATCGCAGCATTGCCACACTTGAGCTGTGAAATTAAACTCAAGAATCGGCAGGCCTGTTTGAACAGATAAGAGCGAAGCACGCACATGTGCCCTTCAGGAAGATAATCTGAGTGCCAACGAGAGTGGCCAAATCTCACAGTCAATTTAGAGATATCATTACTGCAGAAATGAGCATTGGTGATAGAAGGGCCTCTTAGGATGCGAACCTAGAGATAAACCATCCTAATACTACACGTGACTCACAACACCCCAGCTCAGACAAACGAATAATCCAAAATCACGGTAATTACTCATTCTACATGATGCTGCAAACAGGATTTTAGGTTTACGCCGCCTCAATCGTTTTGCAACCTCTGTTGTGAAATTCTCTCTCCACCCTTTTTGTGTTCCATTATGCATCAATCATAGTAATTTGATGACCTCTTTTTTCATATTAAACCAAGCAAAGAGTGACTCAACCATAATTAACACTCTTTTTTCCTTCTGTGCAGGCAATTGGGAATGCAAAAACCACCCGCAATGACAACAGCAGCCGCTTCGGGAAATACATCCAGATCGGCTTCGATAGGAGATATTACATCATTGGTGCCAACATGCGAACATATCTGCTTGAGAAGTCCAGAGTAGTATTTCAGGTCCGTCTCATGTAGGAAGGACGATTTAAGATTTTATTGCAGCCCCTTGTGCTTTTCCATGTACTGAACAACACTTTATTTTTGCAGGCTGAGGACGAGAGGAACTATCACATCTTCTACCAGCTCTGTGCTTCATGCTCTCTGTCAGAGTTTAAAGATCTTTCCTTGAGTAAGTGGCCCAATGAACTCAATGACTGGTTTGGTTATTTCCTGAATTTCTGAAATCCAAGTGTTTTTATTTGCCATTGACTGTGGCTGGGCAGTATGATGGTATATGCTGTTTGATGGCAAAAAGGTGTCTCACGAATAGGTCTTAAAATGTGGTCTTCATGGCATGAGATGCTAAAAAAATGTCTGAGCTCATGATGCAGCTCATCTGTCAAATGAATGCAATGTCTTGAAGTTTTTTCATTTTTTTCTCATTAAATACTCATATGCGAATTAAAATGTAGGCTTAGGCTTTTTACCTTTCAACCACATGAGTGCATATCGTTTCATTTGATAATTGCCTCTCATAGCCAATGAGCACCAGTGGCCACACATCTTTTATACTCTTGCAGCATACCCAACTGCTTTATTTTTGAGTAATGAAAATTTAAATTTGATGTAAAAAATATTTTTAGTTGAATATATTTTTGATACCATTGCAGTGATATGAAATTACTATAATACACCACTGTTCAGAAGTTCGGTTTTTGAAAAGAGTGTCTTAAGTTCAGAAATACAGCAAAAACAGTAATATTTTGAAATATAATTACTATTTAAAATGATAGTTTTCTATTTTAATGTATTTTAAAATGTAATTTATTCCTGTGATTGCAAAGCTGAGTTTTTGCCATCCTTTGCTCCAGCGTTTAGTGTCACATGTCATTCTAATGTGCTGATTTGATGATCAAGAAACATTTTTTTCTTATTATCAACAGTTGTGCAGCTTAATGTTTTAGTGGAAACAGTGATGCATTCTTTTCAGGATTCTCCACAAACTATTGAACGGCAATGTACCTGATTTTGATCATAATGCTACTACTGACAATCTTTAAGTCTTACTCAAATGCAAATTGTCCATTCACCCTCTTATTTTAGCCAGCGCAGAAGACTTTACCTACACGTCTCTTGGTGAGAACATTTTTATTGACGGAGTGAATGACGCTGAGGACCTTGTGAAGACAAGAGAGGCTCTTACAATGCTTGGTGAGAACTACAGCAATAAACATGTCTTTAATCAAGGCTTTGCAACAAGACATATCGAGTAGCAAGCATATTTAATATTTATCATGGTGATACTGTGTGTTGTGCAGGTGTGAAAGAGATCCATCAAATGAGCATCTTTAAGATAATTGCCTCCATCTTGCACCTGGGGAACGTGGGGATTGTGTCAGAGAGAGATGGAGAATCCTGCCATATCAATGTAAGTGCACAACAAATAGTGTGTCTTACTGTATGTTATTTATTTTAGCACATTAGCTTACTATCCTTCACTTGCCTAAACAATTGCAATCTTTTTTTGCACCTGCAGAGGGACGACACTTATTTGCATCATTTCTGTCGGCTGCTGGGTATAGAGCAGGAGCAGATGGAGCACTGGCTGTGCCGCAGGAAGCTGGTGACCACCGCCGAGACCTACGTGAAGAACATGTCGCATGCCCAGGCGGTCAATGCCCGAGACGCCCTGGCCAAACACATTTACGCCCATCTCTTTGACTGGATTGTGGAGCACATCAATAAGGCCTTGCACACCTCCACCAAACAGCACTCCTTCATCGGTGTGCTGGATATCTACGGGTAATGCTTGTGATTATGAGAGGTCATGCAAGTAAAGATTTAGAAACTTAGTTCTTCGGGTTCTTATATACAGTAGAGTAATATGTCTTATGTTTTGACCTTCCCTTTGCAGAAACCTCATTGAGTTTTTAGAGTCAGCAATTGCTGTAAGCCTTTCTGACCATGGGACTAATTACTTCCTCAAAGAGGGGAACTTATTGATCAGCATTATAGTAAAGAAGCAGCGAAGTGCCATGCTAAAGGATGCAGAGAGAAGTGTTGAGTTTGTTTTCAGGGAAATCTTATTGATTTTGTTGACATGTCTTCACCTCCCAACAGATTTGAAACGTTCGAGATAAACAGCTTTGAGCAGTTCTGTATTAACTACGCCAATGAGAAACTACAGCAACAGTTCAACTCGGTCAGTAATGAATTATCAGTAGATCCATATGTTTAGTGTCTTTGGTGTTACTCATGCTATGCAGTATTTAGATATATATATACACTATCTTAAATGTCTTAATATATTGGATAAAATATTATAATTATAATAAAATATATTCTAAATTTTTTAAGGTAAAACAAATCACAGTTTTATTTTAATAGTAAATGTTTTTCATTTTAATATTTTTAAATATTATTGTTTAATAATAATAATAATATTTTTTAAATATTGAACAATAATTTAAAGACTTTTCACAACAGAATTCTGAACAGAACATCTCATTTAATTTCAACTTCTCTGTCACTCATATGCAGCATTTAGACGTATACTATCTTATAAGTATTAATATATTAGATGAAGTATTATAATAATAATTATAATTATTTCAAAATGAAATAAAAAATGATTTTGTTTTATTTTAATAATAACTCGTTTTAAATAATATATATTTTTTAAATAATGAAACCATTTTTTAAAATAAAAAAGTAATTTTAATATTTTGGTTTGTTCTTAAGTGCTGTGCACATCTACAATAAAAAACCTGGACATTTCTTAAAGAATAATTCATAATGAAACTAGTTTTCTCAGGAATATTGTTTTAATTGATAACCAGTTTATAGTTTTTCTTTTCAACAGCTTTCATTATCACTTTCTAATCAGTTTAGGTTTTTTTCTTTTCAACGGCTTTCAGTACTACTTTCTATCCTATTAGTCTTTTATATTATTAGTTTGAATAACAAAAGCCAGTTGCGTGATAATATCATCTTCCAGGACATTTTAGAATTTAGAATTGCATTTACATTTTAGAATTGCATTTAGAAATGTATTGATCATACGGTATAGAAATGCAAAAGCGTAATCATTTTTAAAAAGTTAGAAAATGTTCTGCATGACAGGAATGACCTGTGTGTTTGACCTGTGTCTTGGCTGTGTTAAGTTTCAAAATGAATGTATTTGATGCATTTAACTAATACATGCACATCATATACCCCTCAGCATGTGTTTAAACTGGAGCAAGAAGAGTATATGAAGGAGCAGATCCCCTGGACGCTTATAGATTTCTATGATAACCAGCCGTGCATTGACCTCATTGAAGCCAAGCTTGGTATTCTGGACCTTCTTGATGAAGAGTGTAAGGTGAGTCGCGAGCAGAGGCAAAAACAGTTGTTGAGAATATGATAAAGAGAATTTGAGAGGGATGTTGCCTAAACAGGTCTCCGAACAGAGTGTCTCATTTAGTTTTAAACACCTCTGCCTCTTTGAAGTTTTTGAGTATGAATCAGAGCAGCTTCAAAAGGGTGATCATGCTATTTCTGCTACAGGTAACCCAAATAATGTTTTCAGTTTCCTGCAGTTCAAAGTATTTTTTTCTTTACTGCATCTGACAGGTGCCTAAAGGAACGGATCAAAACTGGGCGCAGAAGCTGTACGGCAAGCATTCAAACAGTGGGCATTTCGAAAAGCCCAGGATGTCCAACAGGTCATTCATTGTGGTCCACTTTGCAGATAAGGTGGGTTCAGCTTATATTAAGTGCACTATAGGGCTCAGGATGCTGCTGGGATATCATGATATCACCAAAAGCATCATCCTTAACTTCCTGAAACTCTTTTACAAATAAAGTAGGCTTTTTACACTTTAAGCTCTAAACCATTTAAATTTTTAACTAGGGATGCACCGAATGTTCGGCAATAAGCGAAAAGACCGAATAAATTGTACCAAACAATGATATGACGCGATCAAATAGCAACCAGCGCAGAGTGAGAGGCGCGCACTCTTTATTATGCAGCACACACGTCAGCAGTGTGGAAGCATTTAAACTGTCGGAGAAAGAATCAAAAATCATTACAAGCACCGACAGCGAGAGACTGTCTACGACTGCATCGCATGTCTTCGATGAGAAGTTTAATACATTTATTATAACATTCACACATAGTGTTCAAATTGGGATCTGTAATATTTTCTAATGTTTTAAAAGAAGTCTCTTCTCAGCAAGGCTGCTTTTAATTGTACAGTAAAAAAATATATAAATAAAAATACATGCCTGATTCAAGAAGGGGGTCTGACAGCCAAAAATTATTAGTTTACTAAATTATTAATTTTAAGTTAAATTGTGCTTTGTTGGTAAAGTGTCTGCTAGAATGTAAAAAATGTTCCGTGTTAAATATTTTTAAATTGTTGTTTTGTAATTGATTTTTTTTTCTTTGAAAAGCAAGACAAAACAGTAAAAAGCACATTTTGGCTTTTTAATTTATGCAATGGTGAAAAAAAATTTGGCAAAATACATGGGGAAAAAAACTCAAAAAAACGTATTCGGTTTTCTGCCTTCGGCCTAGTGTTTAATTTTGTTCGGCTTCGGCCAAGTATTTTCATTTCGGTGCATCCCTATTTTTAACCCTTCAACAGATTTTGTTTGCCTGGACTAAACTTGACATGACGTAAATACTTTTTGTAGAAATGAGCAATTTGTGATGCACATCTGGGTTTTTAGGACGAGAATAGCTTAACTCTTTACAAACCTGCTCACCGAAACCCAACTTGTGTGAAATTGTGTTACACAACACAAATGATTTGGTTAATAATGCATGATGAATGCAATAAAAATAGCTGATTCTTCTTCATGCCAGTTTGGGGGCACAAAAATAATGTAGCATGTTATTTTTAGTGTGGTACTGATGTACAAGTCACACTTGTGACATTATGTCACCCCTGACAGGTTGAATATCAGTGTGACGGCTTCCTGGAGAAGAACAGAGACACTGTTTATGAGGAGCAGATAAACATCCTCAAGGCCAGTCAGGTGAGCACTGGGTATTTTTGGTAAGAATAAAATGTTGTGTTTTAAAAAAAAATCCATCCCCATCCAGCTGAGCCTCTGTTTATACTTCACGCTTCCTCATGTCTGCGTGATTGGAATCACTCTTTAGCTCATGTTTTGCTCTCTGGCCTGTTTAATCAGTTAATTGACTTAAAGTTCTCAGGCAAACAGAGGCCTGACCTTGTCCACACCTAGCACTGAATCACTCGAACAGCCGGATCCATCTTAACCGAGATTTAATAGTATATCCATTGTCTTTGTCAATACTGATCTCTCTCGTAGTGTTTTGTCCTGAGGTTTCTTGGCAACAAAATTCACTGGAATCTGAGCTATGTTCATTTGCAGACAGCAGCACATCATCGTCTACAAGTTAAAGACCTTCTCTGCAGGGCAGTGTTGAAATGCTGTCGAGTTTAAAATGAAACTTTCACTAGGACTCTTGTAATGAGATGTCCCTGTGGAAGAAGTGCAATTTAAACATCAGTTTGTCTGAAGTGATAACAGTTTTCAGCACTGCTGTCTGAAGTTTGCTTTTACTTTAAATATGTTTCAGAGCTATGTTCTCTTCAGGATATCAACAATGCTCAGCAAGGCATTTCATGCGGGGCCTTCATTGTGGTTTAAAATGTCGTGGGGTTTCACAGATCAAATGGTGAAGGCATAGCTCATGCATATTAATTAGGTTGCACACAAATAATTTAACATGATCTTTTACTGATTTAATAAATAGTCTAAGTGATGTCTTACTTTTTTTTATTAGATCTACCACTGATCAGCACTTAAAAGCCAAGTATGACTGCTGCTGCTACTACTATTATTATTATTACTACTACTTGGCTACTTTTGAAACTTAATACTTGGACTTTTACTCTAAAAAACTTATTTCAAGCATATATGTCCTTATAGGAATGGTTTGGCCAAAAATGAAAATAGTTGAAAATTTACTCACCCTCGGGCCATCAAAGATGTAGATGAGTTTTTCTTCATCAAAATAGCTTTGGAGAAATGTAACATTACATCGCTTGCTCACCAATGGATCCTCTGCAGTGAATGGGTGCCATCAGAATGAGAGTTCAAACAGCTGATAAAAGCATCACAATAATCCATAAGTAATCCACAATACTCCAGTCCATCAATTAATATATTGTGAAGTGAAAAGCTACATGTTTGTAAGAAACAAATCCATCATTAAGACGTTTTAACTTTAAACCGTCGTTTCTGGACAAAATACGAGTCCATACATCAAAATAAAGCTTCCTCCAGTGAAAAAAAAAGTCATCCCCAAAATCTGTCAAAAATGTGTTTAAAGTAATGTTAAATGTCTCCAAATCTGTTCCGATTAAAAAAACGAACTCATCAATTTTTTTGGATGAACTGAGGGTAAGTAAAAGTTTTCATTCTGGGGTAAACTATTCATTTAAAAGTATACAATATTTTTTCTGTCTTACTGGTTTAAAACAGCCAATGAAATCCTTTTCAGTATAAAACTGTAATTTTTTGTTTAACTTAAAACAAATTATTAAAATTAAAATTTTAACTTAAATATAATTTCCCAGTACTTTTTACAGCCCTGTGCAACTCGGGATACCATTGCTGTCCGCACCTTTAATTTGTATTTAGTCTCTGGTCCATCATCTCTGTTTATCAATGTCATCCTACAGTGTCAGACTTACAGTGACTGCAGTTTAATGATGTCATCTGTATTCCATCTTAGAGCCCTGAATCTTGGCAGGATCATGGTATTAAGGATTCATTGAAACACTGTGTACCTGCCTTGTGGTGGATGCTTAGGGAGTGGATTTTAAAGGGATTTTAGTCTAGCTGGAATAAAAAAAACATCTGGGTTTCTTATGCCTCTTATGTAAGATGTGATGCATCTGTAATATTACTGGATAGCTTAAAGCAGTGAAGATTTCTTCATGTGACACTTATTATCAAATGTATTCTTGTGTCTCTACAAAATATTTTCTTTCTTTCCTGAAAAACTGTTGTGTTTTCTGTGTGTGTGTTTTTTGTTTTTTTTGTACAGTTCCAGCTGGTTGCAGATCTCTTCCACGATGGTAAAGACTCTGGTCCTCCCACCAGCAAGAGCTCCAAGATCAACGTCCGGGCTGCCAAACCAGTTCCAAAAGGCCACAACCGTGAGCACAGAAAAAGTGTGGGCACCCAGGTGAGGCTTAGTGTCAGAGGCCAGTTTTAGGTCCATATTTGTGCTTGACAGTAGATCAACTGACGATCAACTTATTATGAAGATGAGGTGCTTAACATAATGATGAAATAAAAACTTTCTTTCACAGTTCAGGAACTCTCTACATCTTCTGATGGAAACGCTGAATGCTACCACCCCTCATTATGTGCGCTGCATTAAACCCAATGATTATAAGGAATCCTTTGTGTAAGTTTTATTCATCCATTAGTACTTAGTTTATCTTGCCTATAAATAGAGAGGTATAGCTAATTCATTTAAGCTGCCAGAGAACATTAGAGTCATGCTGGTACAGAGACATTTGATCGACCTCAGCTGCACCCTAAGTTTCCTCAAACAATCAGACATCAACGCTCCTCTGAGAATTAGCCGAAAAGGTTATATAAAATATAATTAAACCTGGTTTTCTCACATGAAAATCAGTAGAAGTGGCCCCCATCTGCAAAGTACTTGCTGAGTTAACACTTTTGTTAATTTTTCCATTAAATGTTTGAGGTGAATGGAAACCTGACATAACATTGACTGGTCTGTTCCAAATACTATAATAAAAAGAAATATGGTACTTGTCAGCTTTTTTAATGTGTTACACTATATTCATCTTCAAACAATCATGTTTAATGTATTTATTTGCTTATTTTTCTCGTAAAGTTCACAATTCTGAGAAAGGATAGGGTTTTGTTTTGCTCTGTTTGTGTCCTCCTCAAATTCTGAGCACAAAAGCCCCTTCAAGGATGCTAAATTGACAGGGTTTTGTCAGTCACATGCTCTTAAGGTTGTGAACACACAGTCACAGAGCTCTGAGTCAGATAGCTTCCAGTCCCTGAGCGGACTGCAGTCTTCCAATGCCTCTCTCACGGGAGATGTGCTCTATGCTCAAAAGAAAGATCCGGTAGGTCTAGATAACACCCCAAATCTCTCGTGGGGTGACATGCTCACTTTTGTACCCATAAAAAATGTCAAGATCAGATGTTCCTTGTTTAGGATCTTCTTATGTTGGTTTTTGTAAAGATTCCTCACTCTTTGACTGACTCTTTGCTTTCTGTAGGTTTGATTCTAGAAGAGCTGTTCAGCAACTGCGAGCATGTGGAGTTCTCGAGACTATCCGCATCAGTGCCGCCGGGTATCCCTCCAGGTAATGATCTGCAGATTCTTTTATAGGGCTTCAAGGCAGGGTAGACATGGGGGCTGTTGTCTTATGCTTTTAAGCAAGACATTAGTAAAGAGTTTTGGTTTTTCATATATACATGCATAACCTCATGTTTTCTCCCTAATCATTGGAAATGATATAATTCTGGAAATCAAACCACAAGTACAAGTTTATTCAATATGTGTTTTTTCATTTCCTCATCACATCTGATGTAATTTCTTAGGTGGACCTATCCAGATTTCTTCAGCAGATATCGGGTGCTCATGACACGGAAGGACATGACCATTGGCGATAAGAAGCAAGTTTGTAAGAACCTGCTGGAGACCTTAATCAAGGTAAGATTACCGTGGTTAGAAATGGCTTATATGTAAGTTGCATGTGTAGTGCTCACTCTCATCCTGGTATTGTGGTAATACCATGTTTGTCTGGACATTTACCACAGTATTTTTGAAGTACCTTGTACATTTATTACCATGGTATTGCCATGGATTAAGAAAACAGATAAGCTCAAAACATCTTCCTATATTAGCAATTAAAATATTTCTTAAATATTTCTAACATACAATCTGATCAAAAGTTTGGGCTCTGTACATTTAAGAAATTAATATGTATTATTCAGCAAGGATGCATTAAATTGATCAAAAGTAAAGATATAATTTTATATCAGTGGCGTTCCGTCCATATAAACTGCGAATGCTCCGCATACCCAGGCCATTTGAGAGAATAAGTTCACGGGATAATTCATATAAACATGATTATAAGTTGATCCCTTGTCATTTGAAATGTAACTTAAAGCTTAAAGAGTTAGGAATAAGTACGTAAAATTATTTATTTGCCAAACGGCAGTAATTTTCTTTAAATCTACCAGTTGCGGTTGCTTCCGGGCAAGCGGATTCTCCGCAGCTTTCTCGCCTCCACTCTGTTGCTATGAGTCGTCAGGATTGATGCGCGTTCTCAGTGATTTGCTGGTCTTCGGCAGATTTAATGCGGGAGGTAAGCTGTCAGCGAAGTGCTCGCCCGAGCGGAAAAATGTGCTGCTGCTGTCAGATCTCGATTGCGAAAAATTACATTGTGTTTGATGCAAAACCAAATCGATTAAATCAAAAGAAAAAACACTGTAACTGTATATTTTTGTTTTCTCAAGCAAAGCAAATTTTCAAAATCCACTGAAAACATATGTTTATAAAAACGTGGGCTATATAAAATTGTAATAATAACAAACATCATATTGTTCCCTTTGTTTTACATATGCTCGTGTCGCTTACAATTAAAGTCCTTCTCTTATTTTGTTATTGTTTGCAAGGTTGCAACGTTACTTTGCAATATTTTAAATATTTTTGGGTATTTTGCATGGTCTGTTATTGGAGTAGTGTCACCCGGGTGGGAGCGGGAGTTTTAACAGCGGATTCTCCGCAGCTTTCTCGCCTCCGCTCTATTGCTATGACTCTTCAGGATTGTAGCGTGTTCTCAGTGATTTGCTGGTCTGCGGCTGATTTAAAACGCGAGGTAAGCTATCCGCGAAGCGGAAAAATGTGCTGTTGCTGTCAGATCTCGAATTGCCAAAAATCACATTGTGTTTGATGCAAAACCAACTCAACTAAATCAAAAGAAAAAACACTGTAACTGTATATTTTTGTTTTCTCAAGCAAAGCAAATTTTCAAAATCCACTGAAAACATCTTCTTACATTTTTGGTCATAGACAACGTATGTTGAAGATATACGTTATTGTCAACGTTATTGCTTAAGCGGTAAATAAATAAAAAATGTTTATAAAAACGTGGGCTATATAAAATTGTAATAATAACAAACATCATATTGTTCCCTTTGTTTTACGTATGCTCGTGTCGCTTACAATTAAAGTCCTTCTCTTATTTTGTTATTGTTTGCAAGGTTGCAACGTTACTTTGCAATATTTTAAATATTTTT